AGAGGAACTGAGGCTCAGAGAAGTTAAGCCCAGGGCCACACGGCCTGTCAATGGTGGAATTCTAGGAGACAGACAGTGCTGGCATTCGGGAACAGCTCTGGCGAGCTGTCCTCATTTCTGGGTGGTGCTGTTGATTCCAGGATGCAGCTGTCATGTTGTGAGAGCAGCGCAGTGTGGTGGGGACAGCATGGGCTGTAGAGCCAGACTACCTGGGTTCCTGTTGCTGTCTGTCACTAGTCATGGGAACTTGGGCAAGTTATGTAGCCTCCGCTTGCCTCACACCCTCATCTGTAAGGCATCAGCTGTCACCTTCCTCGTGGGGCTGCTGTGAGACTGAAATGAACTAATGTGTGTATAAATGGAATAGTGCCTGGCACAGGCTCTGGTCATGATGACGAAGCAATGATTTGGGGGAGATAGAGGAATGGAGCGGGGAGGGAGGTAGAGATGAAGGGTCAGGTGTGTAGCATAAATGGCAAGAGGAGAGAGAAGAGAGGCACAGGGAAGAAGATGTTAGAATAAAGCCAGAACAACAGAGCTGGACGAGGCACAGAGCAAGGGCAAATGTTTACTTGTCCAAGGAGGCCACCAGCCCTGAACACATTTAAGACTAGTGTGTTCGTGGTTTATTTTTGCGGGTGTGGCTCCCACAAAAAAAAAAAAAGGGAAGAAGAAAGGAAAATGTGTCATATTTCCTTTGGCAGAAATGTGAGTCCAGGTTCTACTTTTTCAAGAACGGGCTCCTGCAGTGTTTCTCAGATGTATTGTAGTTAGGTGGTGGCAGCTCTCTGTGGATGGCCTTCTAGGGAACCAAGCTTTTAGGGAACACTGTGATGTTTTGATTAACCTAATTTGCATGTAAACAAAAATAACTTTACCAGCAGAAATAGGACTACACCATGAGATTGTAACAGGAAGTCAGAAGTGTGAGTCGAGGCACCTACACGTACAAGAAGCCATTGAAATAGCTGTTTAAATGGTTCCATTAATATTTACTTGTTATTTGTTCAATTATTTTGTTGTTTATTAGCTCTCACTGGCAGATAATCCAGCTGAGAACAAAGGTTACAAAAAACTTAGAGGGAAAGAAATCCCTAAAAATGAGAAGATGTCTGCAGATTCGGGGCCCATCCTCGTTTAGTTTTTATTGGTAGGACTCCACAGTCCAGTTTATGGGAGGCTGAGTCACTGGACCCAAAGCAGAGCTTGAGGATCACTAGTACTAGAAACTAGTTACTGCCCTTGCCTGTTGTGCTGGTTCTCCTCTTCCAGGCCTCTCTCCTGAAATTACGGTGGAGATTTGCCACCCCCCTTCCCTTGATGAGGCCAGGATTTCAACCTGTGGCAGTATTAATGACACATCTTGGATGATACCCTGAGTAAGAGGCCCTGGGGATCAGTGACACACAGGGAAAACCAAAGCCTGCTTTCATTGAGCTTGCACTCTAGTTGCGAAGGCAAACACCAAATACATTTTTAAAAAAAGATCACTATAGCTAAAGAGCTCTCGGCATCCAGTCAAAATGGCAGAATAGACGGCCCCCAGCATCACTCTCTCCCACAAATCAACCAATTTACAACTATAAAAAAGCAACGACAGCCAAGCTGGGGCCCCTAGAACTCAGGGGAAGAGGAGGAGAGACCTATGGAGTGCATGAAGGCAGGAGAAGCCACAATGAGAGAAAGGAAATCTGCTCTGACCATTTCGAGCCCTGGCTGCTTCCAGGCTGGAGCTGCTGAGCACATGGAGCAGGAGCTGCCAAAAGATGCAGCTGTGCCCATCAGATGGAGTTGCTTGGAGGTGGCAGGGGACAAGAGGGCGTTGGTAGCCCCCAGGACAGCAAGACCACTAACAGGGTTCCCATGGACCCAAATAGGAAAAAGGAGCCACAACAACTGAAATAAAGGAGCCACTCAGAGGCCAGTGAGTCACCGCAAGGGACAGGCGCATAGCCTGTCCCATGGGAAGTGTTTGTAGCACAGGTGGTAGGGGAGACGGGCCCACAGGGGAAACACTGGGGCACAGCAAGGACAACTGATCTGCATCCCTATCAGCAAAGGACCACTCAGAGGAGACTGGTCAGGAATATAGAATTGCAGGGGGTGCAGTTTGATGAAAAGACTCAGGCCCAGACCAGAGTTTCTACACAACCCAGGTGCACCAAAACTCAGGAGACCCAGAAGTACATACAAGGTTAACAGTTAAAACCTGAGCTGCACAAAAAGCCTTCCCTAGGGAATCAGCAGCAAAGCAGCAATTTAGCTCAACCACAGAGCTCAAGTGCTGGTCCCCACAGGAAGCTCCCCCATATTAGAAGTAACCAAAGGACAACAAATTAGTTCTAGTGCAGAGTTTAAGTGGTAGGAACAGCGAATAATCCAACACAGAACTGAAAGAAAAAACAAAGTACCTACAACCAGAGACAAAGTTTGATATTAACTAGTAAAGGTCTCATTTCACCAAAGAACACCTACAACACCTAGAAGGACCAGAAGTCCTCTGGGCTACCAAGCCAGGGAGGGGGGAGGGCTGGGGGCATCAGCCATGCCCCCTGACACCTGCAACAAGTCCAGAGGGTGGGGGGGCCGAGATGACCACTGAGCTGCCACAGGAAGCATCCCAGGCTCCCAAGCTGGGGCAGTGTTGGGCAGGGAGCACTTACAGCACACCCCTGTGACATCTGCTCCCAGCCCAGCAATGACCAAGCCACTGCTGGAAGCCCCCTGATCTCCCCTGCAGGAATGAGGGGGGTGCCACAGGCATCAACCCTGCCCCTCCTCCTCCCTCCGTCTCGCACCCTATTTCCTTCTCCTTTCACCTCTCCCCTTCTCTGCAACTGCTCCACAACATCATAGAATGCTAAAAAAAAAAAAAAAGTAATGTTAATAAATAAACCTTAAAAAAATTTAAATTAAAAAAATAAAAAAGATCATTATAATTTTTAAAAAGCTTTGGGAAGGAAATAAACAGGGTAAAGTGAGGGAGAGAAACCGGCAGGAGTAAGTGAAGATTGTAGGCCTCTGGTCAAAGTCCTGTCTGCAGAAGAGACATTCAGTTTAAGGCCTGAAAGGGTTTTTCATTAATCCTGAAGCAATTGATTAGTTAAATTAAAAACAAAAACAAAAAACTACTTTAGTTCGTTATCTCACTCCACATACTAAAATAAATTTCACATGGACCAAAAGGTGAAATGTAATAGACAAACAGGTTAAAGAAAAAAAAATCTAGAAAAGTAAATATTTCATTTATGAATGAGAAAGACCATTCTGAACTAAAAGTAAATCGAAACTACAAAGAAAAAAATTGTACAGATTTAACTATTTAAAATATAAATTTCTATGTGCCAAAAACAACATAAATAAAATTAAAAATCAATGAGCACGAAAAGTATCTACAAGTATGAAATAATTAATATATACAATGTTCATGCAAACAGTTAAGAAAAAGATTAAACACCATAAAAATGGACAAGGAATATGAAGATAATTCACAAAAGAAAGAATAAAAAGTAGTTCATTAAGTTGAAAAAAAAATCTATACCTTTCCTAATGTAATCAAAGGTATGCCAAGTAAAATAACCTGTGAGTTTCCCTATTAAAACTGTAGGTAAAAACTCTTGATGATACCAAGAGTGTGGTAAAACTGGCATTATCACACAATGATGGTGGATGTGAAAATCTGTAGCAACCTTCTAGAAGGCGATTTGGCAATATGCATTAAAATCCCTAAAAATAGTCATATCTTTTTTGCCTAGTAATCCCACTTTTATAAATCTATCCTAAGGTAGCAATCAGAAATGCAGTCAATTACACACACACACGTGCACGCAGGAAAATTCATCACAGTATTACTTCGATGAAAAATGGAAAGCAACTTGAATGCCCCATATTAGAAGTAAACTATGACATGTCAAATTATGACAAATATGATGCAGCTTTTAGAAAAAGCACGTATAAAATCCCACTTTACAGTATGACTGCATCCATATAAAGAGGCATAGAAGAAAGAGATGAAGTATTTTAAAATGTGAATGTCACCCGTGATATCGCTGGGTGATAGCATTATGGGCAATTGTTCTTTTCTTTTTGCATTAAAAATGCTTCCAGAATTATGTGCTATATTTATGAAAAAGTGAAATTTATAAAACAATCATAAACAGGTTTTGTACTTAGATAATTGAGAAAGGGGAATATGTGAAAAATCGAAAGAATAATGTCACATGAAATGACCTGCAGACCCAAGATTTTGCAGGGATGGGGTATGAGAAGATGATACTGAAAAATGCACTTCAGTTGTCATGAGGGAAGAAGGAAAGAAGGAACCTTATTATTTTTTTTCTTCTCATAGAACCTTTGAAGAAGTGTAATGGAAGTTATCAACAAAACTAAACCCACATTTAAAAAAAAACTTTTAAGATATGCACCAAGAGAACTAAAATCCCACTATTAATTTCGATCGGGGCATGAGAAGCAATGTAGTCTAACAACATAGGGTCTAAAAAATCTCTTAGATCCTATTATATTCTTCCAGTCAAGAACACAGGTCTTTCCGACAATCTTGATCTTCGGGGTGTGAGAGTACATTAAGGTTTCATAGTGTTTTCGTAACTACCTTTGAGTGACAGCTTAGGACTGCTGGTCAGTGATCTGCCTACTTCTGATGAGCAGCAGGCCAAGCACACTTACCTGCACAGACTGTGTGCAAGACCCTGCTGCACACAGTCAGCCCTGTGCATTTCTAACCAGTAACACTGCCATTGCCTTCATCCTTTCTGAGGCCAGAGATACACAGGGCGATGCTGAAGAGGGTGGAGGGAAGGAGAGCAAAAGGTAGATGGATCGATCATACACAGGAGAGAGGCAGGAAGGTCACACACTGAACAACCAATCACTTCACCTACGTGTACCTCAAGAATGTGAAATATCCGCGCAGAAAAACAATTTTCTCATGAGGTGGTGGCATCTGGGCAAGCTGCTGTACTTGTAGCGAAGGTACTTACAAAAAGAAGGCGCAGAGCCCACAGAAACACTCATGAAAGGAGGAGCAGGAAGTCAGGTTCGATTGATGGTTCCTTCTCGCTGGTTTCCTGATGTCAGGCTCCAGAAACGAGGACAGAAGACAGGGAGATGGCAGGGGGATGCAGCCCTGAGCTTGTGTCCCGCTGCAATCTCAATGTTGCCTGAGTAAACAGCTCTGAACTTTGTTATATTTGTGCTGATGTCACGATCAGCTGATTTCACTTTCGTTTCTTAACTTGCCTGTGCTCATGACTTTTCGGAAATAGGGAATGTAAACCACTCTTTGTTGCTTACCAGACCACTTTCTTTACCCACACTGGAGCCAACAAACCAACTGACTTAAAGAGCAGGTAAGTGGCTTAATTATGTCACACAGTAATTCTAGAAAGGAAAGTAGTGGAAGAACCCTCAAAGCTCCCAGTGATTTAAATTCCAAAAACAACCTAGAATCTTCTTCAGAAGGGACCTTCCAGATCATCTTGTTCCAAGCTCCCCAGTGGTTGGGACCCAGGTCACCTCCTCCTCATTCCCTTGGGAAGCAGCTCTGCCATCTGACCCCCGCTCCCTACTCCCCGCCTTTTCAGAAATCCGCTTTCTGATGATGTCTGGGCTTCTCTCAACACCAAACTTTGTCTCCTTAGCATTCTCTCTAGAGCATCTAGGACCTTGTTGGAGCAGCTGGAACATCTATTTTATTTCAACACAAGAGTAGGACAAAGCTTTAATTTTTGAAATCACAGGGGCTCTTGGCCAGAGGTTAAAGCAGCTTATTTTGCTCAGATGACCAACTGGAAATTCTGATGGGGGGTTAAACTTGGTTAAGTCAGTAGTATTAAAAACCTAGTAATATTGCTAAATCCCTCAGTTTTTCTTTTCCTCTTCTTCTCTTCCCCCTCAAAAAGTTCTCTGAACTGCTACATTCCCTCTCTTTGTGTGCACTTCCCACCCACCCCCCCAGTTGTTTTAAACTCAAACTCTAGAAAGAGGTGATATGATATAGTAGAAATATAGTAGAAAGGAAGAACAGAGGCATTGGGATCAGAGAGTTCTGCTACTTATTAGCAAATTATTTACCCTCTCTGAGCATCAATTTCTCATCTTTAAAATGGAAACAATATCTGTTTTGCATGGCTGCTGTGGGAATTGGAGATGATGTATGGAAGTGCTTAGTACAGTACTGGGCACATAGTAATGGTAGCTATTATTATTAAAAGCAGAATTTCTGTATATTTAGGCTAGTCTTCATATTAACAACTTTAAGACAGAGGAAAAAATTAACTTTTAAGTATTAGTATAGACCAGTTACTCTGAAAACTGAATACTGGTGAGTGAAGTGAAGTAATATAGAAGAGAGAGAAATATATTTTTAAAAAATATATTCAATGTTATAATGCACATAGTTTTTAAAGAGTCGAACAGTTCTTCACAGTTTGTTATGGAACTCAGCAGTCACATGTGCTTCTTATTCAGAGGCAAGCGCTTTCATCTATTTCAGCTGATTCTTCAGGTTTTTACTGCAGTTCTCTAACGTGTTTGGATTGATACTTCTTGATTTTTCAGTTCCAGGCATAATCTATCAGCTCCCAGCTACAGAAGATGAAGATTTAATTTTTTTCCCCTGACTCTACGTTCCACAAATAGGCATCCTATTTCCTTCCTCTATACAAATTGGTTACGTTACAATTTTGTTTAATTCTGTATTCACTGTTTACAATATTGTAACTATATACCATTCACAGCAGCTGAGCTATATAGAAAATTATGATTACTTGTCCTATCCTGCATAACTTTTTGTCTTCCCCGAAGATAATTATTGACTTTTTAAAATGTTTTTTTTTCTGGTTTTCAAAATATACTTAACATTTATCCAACCCTCAAATCTTCATCAAATCTTCTATCAAGAAGTTTGTATGCATTAAGTACACTATATCTTCCTAAAAAATGTTCCCTGAGTGTCTTCCAACCTGCCGCGGTCTGGGTGAGGGCTTTGACACTTGATACACAGCTGTCATTCTGGAATCTCACTTCACCATCCTGGGGATTCTCTTTGCCTCTATCCTACATTGGTTCTCCTATTTCCTGCATCAAAGGCTTTTCCCTTTCTTGATTTATTCAATTTTGGTGGAGCAAATCTCCAGTAACTTCCTGAGAGATGGGCCCATTGAAGGTAATTTTTTGCAAACTTTCAAAACTGAAAATATCTTTGTTTTACTCTCAAACTTGATCAAAGTTAAACTGAGTTTAGAATTTTAGGTTAAAAATAAATTTCCTTTATAATTTCAAAAGCTTTGGTTCTTTCCATCAAGCTTTCATGTTATTGTTGGTAAGCTTAAGTCATTCTGCTTTCTAGCTTCCAAAATGTTCTCCTCTCCTATTGTCATATTTTCAGCTTTATGTTAAAAAAAAAAAAGTTATTTTAGTAAGGTTACAAAAAGGTTACTTTTAACTGGAAGTCTAAAATATTTCTTTCTTCTTATTCTTTATCTTTCCTTTCCTTTTCTCTTTGTTTTCACCCCAGGAGCGCTCTTTCTTGCTGTCTCTTTTACTGGTTCTCTCTGGTAACCTAGCTGGCGCATGGTTGAGCTTGTTGCTTTTATCAAGTTACCAACCTCCTCTTAATTGCTCACCACCAAAATCTCCATTGTTTTTGACATCACCGTTAGCCTTGAACTTCCCCACGCTCTGTTCCAGACAAGTCAGTTTACTTGGGGAGAGCTTCCGAGCTCTCTGTCCTTAAGGCATGCCTCTCTCAGGCAAACTTTCTGAGCCACCACTCTGGAGCTGAGGCTGGCGACAGTGGCCTGCTTCTTCTAGAATGACACATCTGCTTAAGTGCCACAGACCTTTGCCACTTACCGGGATTTAGTAGATTTTCTTGAATGAATGTGTCTTCATTTGATGTATGTCCTTAGGACAATTTACAGATTCTTTAAATTTTTCTTTTTTAATATAATTTTTACCAGTTGTGTTTTTTTCACCAAGGAGTGGGTAAGGAGCTCCCTAGGTGCCATTCCAGAAGTGGATCTCTACCCATTTACTTTACTTAAATTTTTTTTTTAATTAAAAACATTTTTTAGAGCAGTTTTAGGTTCATGGCAAGATTGAGAGAAAAGTATAGAGACTTCCCATACAATCCCTACAAATACCCAGGGTCATTTAGGTTTTCTTCTATGTTATTTTCTATGAGTTTTATAGTTTTGGTTTTCCATTTAGTTCTATGACCCATTTTGAATTAATTTTTGTGAAGGGTGTAAGGTCTGTGTGTGGATTCATTTTTTCATATGTGGATGTCCAGTTGTTCCAGCACCATTTGTTGAGAGGACTGTCTTTGCTCCATTGTATTGCCTTTGCTCCTCTGTCAAAGATCAGTTTACTATGTTTATGTGGGTCTTTTTCTGGGCTCTCTATTCTTTTCTATTTATCTATTTGTCTGTTCTTTTGCCAATACCACACTGTATTGATTACTGTAGCTTTATAGTTGAGTCTTGAAATTGATTAGCGTCAGTCCTCTGACTTTGTTCTCCTTCAATATTGTGTCGGCTATTCTGGGTCTTTTGACTTCTGAATAAACTTTAGAATCAGTTTGGTGATATCTACAAAATAAATTGCCAGATTGGAACTGGTCTATAGATCAAGTTGGGAAGAACTGACATCTTGACAATATTGAGTCTTCCTACCCATGAACATGGAATATCTCTCCATTTATTTAGTTCTTTGATATATTTCATCAAGGTTTTGTAGTTTTTCTCATATAGATCTTGACATATTTTGTTACATTTATACCAAAGTAATTCATTTTTTTGTGATAATGTCAATGGTATTGTGTTTTTAATTTCAATCTGCAATTATTCATTGCGGGTATCTAGGATAGCAAGTGACTTTTCTATATGAACCTTGTGTCTTGCAACTTTGCTATAATGACTTATTACTTCCAAAAGTTTTTTGTTGTTGATTCATTGAGATTTTCTACATAGACAGTCATGTCATCTGTGAATAGTTTTATTTCTTCCTTTCCAAGCTGTATACTTTTTATTTACTTGTCTTATTGAATTAGCTAAGACTTCCAGTATGAAGTTGGATAAGGATGATGAAAATGGATATCCTTGCCTTGTTTCTGGTCTTAGCAGGAAAGCATCTAGTTTCTTACCATTAAGTATAATGTTAGTTTATCTATTGATTTTATCATTTAATATTTTTTATTCTGTTGATGTGATGGATTATATTGATATTTGAATGTTGAACTAGCCTTGCACAATTGAAATAAACCCTATTTAATTATAATAGGGTAATTCTTTTTATAATTCTTTTTATACATTGTTAAATTCTATTTTCTTATATTTTGTTGAGGATTTTTGCATCTGTGTTCATGGGAGATACTGGTCTATAGTTTTCCTTTGTTATAATATCTCCGTCTGGTTTGGGTATTAGGGTAATTCTGGCCTCATAGAATGACTTAGGAAGTATTCCCTCTGCCTCTATCTGGAAGAGATTGTAGAGAAATGGTATAATTTCTTTCTTAAATGTTTGGTAGAATTCATCAGTGAATCCATCTAGGCCTGATAATATTTCTTTTGGTAGGTTTTAATTTATTGATTCTATTTCTTTAATAAGTCTTTTCAAATTGTCTATTTCTCCTTATGTGAGTTTTGACAGATTGTGTCTTTCAAGGAATTGGTCCATTTTACCTAAATTATCAAATTTGTGGGCAGATAGTTGTTCATAATATTCTTTTATTATCCTTTTTAATGTCCAAAGTATCAGTAGTGACAGGTCCCTCTGTCATTTTTGATTATTTGTGTCTTTTCTCTTTTTTTCTTAGTTAACATTGCTAGAGGTTTATAAATTGATCTTTTCAAAGAACTAGCTTTTTGTTTGATTTTCTCTATTGATTTCCTGCTTCAGTTTCATTTATTTCTGCTCTAATTTTATTATTTTTTTCTTCTGCATACTTTGGGCTTACCTTATTTTTTTCTTTCAAGTTTCCTATGGTAGAAGTTTAGATGATTAATTTTAGATAGTCTTTTCTAATAAATGCATTCTATGCTA